GCATTTCTGAAGGTAATTGGCTTGCACAAGGACTTGCTTGGTTTGAGGATAGATCCTATGACTTTGCTATGTGACAACAAGGCAACAACTAATATTGCAAAGAACACTATACACCTTGACACAATAAAACATGTGAAAATTAACTGTCATTTTGTAGAAGAGAGATCAAGGAGGAAGTCACTAAATTAACATACATTCCTACAGGCCTCCAGATTGCATATATTCTCACCAAATAGAAATATCTTTAATGGGTTCAATTCAAAGCTAGTGATTGGCATTCATATCCCATTATGAGGGGAAGTATAGTATATTCTGACATTCTGTAGTAGTTATTACTGTCGGGTTAGTCTTACTTGCCCAAAGAAGATTTGGTTGCAAATATTTGTTACTAGTTTAGTGCCATTAGTTTCCCAAATATCATCCTAAGGACCCTCTCCTGATATGAAGAGTACATATCGACCTAGCTGTATTTCCTTAATTTGTGTTTCCTGGTAAATTTAGATTGATGAGATATTTATCATCTACATATAATGTAGCCTACTGGTAGAATAACTTAGTAGATTCAATAAAAGAAATCTTCAGTATTCATAGTTTTCCTACAACTTGTATGATAGAAAACCTAATTTCTTGAAGAACTTAAACTTTTGGTCAAATCACCATCCTAATCATGGACATGCAAAGAGATAAAACTTGACTTCAAGCATGAAATCCAAAAGGCATTATCACTAAAGCTAGAAATGGATTTGTTTTTAATAGAGTTTTTGATACTATGAGTAATCTGTTTGGGATCTTCTATAACTTGCCAAAGTCAACAAACAAAGAAAAAGAGCACGCCGTTCATAAATATAGGAATAACCTTATTAAACTTACTTCATTATGCTTAAAAGTAATTAAAACTGAAACCATCCTTTTACAAAATACAAGTATACCTCTTATACTTGGTTGTTGAAGAGCCAACTTAAACAGTCCCAGGTGGAGCACAGCTTTGCAGTCAAATGATAATCAATCTCTTATATTAAATGCATCTTTTGCCATAGACGGGATCCAACGTTGCAAATTCTAATTGCAGAAAAAACAAAATAGCAATTGCTAAGTGCTGACCGCAAACAAATCTCTGATGTATAATACAAAAATATATACCCAGGGCCTCAAATACAAGTGATTTCCAGTACTCCGCGAACCATATATGCAATGTCAGTAGAATGTATATTATGATACAAAATGAAGAAAATGCATACATTTTGGCTATAATGTGTTCCTAAGGTAGAGGTCAGAATAGGAATGTGATTTAACATATTTTCTATTAAATCATGAGAACAGGCAACATCGCATAATTCAGTTGGGCCTCTGCCAAGTGCCAACTAGAACGACATCATTTCCAGAAAGCTATTACAGAAAAACTTGTCTCAAAACACCATTGAAATCCTTGGTACTTCTAGGATTCATAATTCATATGCATTTGTCTGAGCTACCAAAAAGCACAAAGCCTCTTGTTTATATCAATACTGAAACGTAGTCCCATAAAATTCATATCAATGCTAAAATTGCTGGATCACAACATTGTCAATAGTTATTGTTGTAATCTAATCTACATATGGATATATGCACATCATACTTCAACTTCAAAAGTGACTTTCTACTGAAGACCTAGATATCAATCAGAAAACACTGATCAACAATACTGAAAAATGCTTGACTACTAAATGTTCAGAAAACAAAAGAAAAAAGAGAGTGATATTCAAGAAATAGTGTCTTGCCATTAATCAACAGTGAACTCTAGAACTAACCCACCAAAATTCCAACAGAAGTAAAAAAGAAAAAAAAAACTATGAAGAACAACAGATTGAGAGATCGAGAGGAAGTAAAAAGAATACGTACCAGGATTAATGTTCTTGAATGAAACCTCAAAGCAGCAAATATACGAAATGCCTCCTCAAAACTAGAACCGAATAGTGGTAAGGTATTGAGAGAGAGAGAGAGAGGATTCCAGAGGGCGTACCGGAGAAGATGAAGATCTATGTAGAAATTACAGAAAGTACCCCACTTATAATAAAAACATACATTTTCAGTCCTTATAACAAATTAATCAGTTTAAGAAAGTGAGAAATTTCCTCCAAGTAATCCTACACTAAGGGGTGTTTGGGATTGTTTATAAAAGTTATTTTTTAACTTATTTCAGTTTGGTACCGATTATAAGTTGTTTTTTGGTATTTGGATAAAGAAAAAAAACTGCATATACCAGTGCCAAACCGGTAAGAAGCTGTTTTTGATAAGTTAATTCTTACTGACTTAAGAAAAACTGTTTATTACTAGTTTACAATTTTAAACCGGTTTTATTTAACTCTGATTTGATACCACATAAATTAATAAACACATTTACAAAAAAGCATAAGTTGTTTTAAATAAGTAATCTCAAACACCCCCTAACAATGTGTCATATTATTATATTATTTGTGGTTATATTCTTATAAATATAAAGATTTGTAATATTTATGAAAGAACTTATGAATGCAGGGTCGTTTATCAAATACTTACCCGGTAAATGTTTATTCGGAAAATTTAACACTACTATTTACTTACTGAGTAAGATCTTAGTCCACCAAAAACGACATCGCATGTAACAATTTACCCTTTCAGCGCTTACCAGGGTAAGAGTCGTCTCCCTCACTTACCGGGTAAGACTCTTGGTCCTTGTCTCGCTCTTACCGAATAAGATTCTTAGTCATTACCATATTCATCCGGTGAGGTAATACAACTTGGTAAGCGGTTAACCCTAAAATTTGGATTACAGATGAATTCATTGAAGAAGATCATTGGGATGTGATAGGCGTATGTGCTCATGGTATTATGTGTTACATGATGTTTGTTACCTATGACAATTTTTCAAAAACATGATTCAACTAAAAGTACTTGAATTGAAGATGGAGAACTAAGAGGCCATTTATCAAACATTTTTGGGTAAGCGTTTATTAAGTTATATTATCTTATCAAATGAATATGATAAGGACCAACAATTTTATCCAGTAAGAGCGAGACAAGGATCAAGTTATATTGTCTTACCATGGTTAGCGCTTACCGGGTAAATTATTGCATACGATGTCGTTTTGGTGGACTAAAATCTTACCTGATAAGTAAGTGATAGTGTTGGATTTTACCGGTAAACGCTTATCTGGTAAGTATTTGATAAACAATCCCTAAGTTAGCAGATTATATATGGTTAGGCAGAGGGGTGGGGAATAAAGGGCTAGCAGTTTATGCTAGGAATGTGTTTTGCTTTGATTGTTGTTTATGTGTTTTTGCCTTTTATATATTTTTAATATACTTACTTCTTCATGTTGTTTTTTTCGTTCCATGTGTTAGTACTTGTTACTTCTGCATGCTTGTTCATATTTTTTTACAAGTCTATAATTTTCAAGAAAACAATCGCACTACTCTTCGGGGTACTTGCGGATGACAAAAAAAACAGGAAATCAATACTCGAATCCTAGGGGGAATCCCAAGTTGAGCGAAGATGAGGATGGGGATTGGGTCCCTAATACTCCCTCTCCCCCAGGGACACATTGCCATCTCTAAGTTCTGCCTACATTTCATCCTCACGTCCTACTTTCGAGTGGGATTTAATTAGTCAGTTCAGTTTGGTTCGATTTGAAATTTTTGTTATGTATGCAAAATTATAATTTTTGAAATAGTATGTATCAGATCATGTTATTTGATGCTTCGTGTATTTATACTCATTTTAGTTATTATTTCAATTGCAGCCGTATATGTCCAACGGAAGGGAGGTCCTGGCTCTCCATCCCCTCCCGCATTGCGGCTCAGGCAGCCTCAAGCAACACATCGCTTGCCGTTTTTGCACCAGAAAACTCATGGACCCAAGAAGCTACCAATACTGCTCCATTGCGTGCAAGGTACTGCATAATGTAGCTATCACTGTTATTAACGCTGCCATCAAACTTTATTATAACAAAAATATATTATGATATATGTTGAAACTCCATCATATTACTCTTCAAAAGAGCCTTAAAAGGGGGTTCAAACATATAATGAAATCAAAAGGTTAAAGTTAGCCAATCTTGGAGTCTAACATGCCCCCTCCTACGTGCATAGATGTACTTGAGGTAGACTTCGACTCTGATTCCATGTAAGAATATGTGAACCCCTATCGTATTACTCTTAAAAATAGCCGTTCAAGAGAGAAGATAGGTTTTAACATATATTAAAAAAACAACTGTCTAAGCCTAATCAATATGAGAATCTAGCATATATATATATATATATATATATATATATGTAGAAAGATTTAGAAATATCCAAAAAGCCAATGCATCAAACCCCGGACCTGTTAAGCTCAAGCTCAGGCCCAACCTTGAAGCTCGATCAGACCAATTCTTTTTCAAGCCCCGGTTAAAGCCCGAGCTAAAAAGGTCCAATAGGGCTCTTATTCAAACCCAAAGCCTGGTGCAAACCGGCCTAAAGCCCAAAAAGATCACTTTTCTTTTGGCTAGCTAGTTACAAGTTTACTGTCCTACATCATCTACAGATTTCCTTTTAGCATAATTTGATCAAATTACTTTTTTTACAAATACAGTATCAGATTGATGGAGGAAGGCCAACAACCATAGAGCCACCAGCTAGACCTCCTGCATCAAACAATGGCGATGGTGACAACGGCGGCGCTGGTGGTGGTTCTGCTGCCGCCGGGGGCAGCCGGAATGGCAAGACAGCATCCCATCATCGAAGCCGTAAAGTACCCCCAATGAGGGCTCATTTATTCTAAACCGAGTCCAATTCATCGTTCTAAATAACGTTAAAAGCTTAAAATAAGTCCATTTTGTTATGGAAACTCCACCTCTTTTTATGCTCGATTTATTATGTGAAATGGCTTGTAGAGACCATTTGGATTTGGATTTCCTTAAAGTTTTCAACATTTATATGCATCTTTCAAACAATTTGGAACAAAAATTCCATTTTTGTTGAAGATTATGAATCTTTATTGTTCTCTAGTTAAACAAATCGATATGCGTGTTTCCGACAATCGGTACCATCATCCAGTCCGTGAAGCTATCGATCTGTTTTGGGTACTTCTGCGGACCAATAGAATCGCAACACCTGTAACACATGAAAAGCGGCGGGACCGCCTCGGAATCGTCGATACCACTGCACCGTGTATGCTGCCAAACCTCGCAAAGATCGCATGCCACCATCCGCTCGCCGTCGTCATCCTGGGCCCCACATTTGCAGTTCACCACCCAGTTGTCAGCCCCGCCTTCGTAGTTCAAGTCGCTAGTCGTCAACAAATCAACCCCGGACCCACGCACAGAAATCTCCGATCCCGATTCGAGCGTCCCGAAGATTACCTCATCATCAGCCAAACCTTCTAATTCCACAATCTCCCTCACTTTCAGGTTCTCCATAACACAATATGTATCCCGCATTGCGATCTCGGCCACCGCTTTTAGATCGCGGATTGTGGCATGAAGCGGGACCACCAATTGCTCGCCCACCGAGTTTCTTCTCTCGGTCGGAACTAACGGAATCACTCGGCAAATAAATCGCAAGAATTCATCAGCATCATCGTTAAATGGCCACTCTTTCGTGAAGTTTTTGCTGTCCAAAACCGTCCTGATGGCAAACTCGACCGTTTCCGAATCGGAATCCAACAGAACATGATGATACAAGTAAGCCAGATCTCTGTATATATCGCTCCCTGATATCGGGTTGTATCTCGTAATCATCGAGTCGACTCGGCCCTGATCGATCTCTTCCGAATCTTGATCGAGTCGACTCGGGCTGTCTGTGATCTCTTGAAGCGAATACTCAAGAACACCCGTGCAAGAATTCACTGCACGACGAACCACGTACCCTCCAACGATCACATTATTCATAGATTTCAGCACATAATCGATCAAACCCGTGTCACCAATGTGGAGCCGGGCTGTATCTCGAACCTCCTGCCGGCTCATCCCGCAATTTCCGTTCCCGTTTTGTGCTTTCTTTTCTTTTAGAGCGTCCACGACCACATTAGCAACATGCTCGAGCCTTCTTACGTGCCATCGACTGTCCAATTTCGCAGCCAAATTCGAAAACTTTCTGCACCTCCCCTGTTTTTCCTTTTTCGTTAAATTCAACTTTGGTTTTGGTTGATCGATGTTTTTCTTTTCTGGGGTTCGGAACTTGAGTGCAAGCATGAATCTAAAGAGGTCCCGGATCGTAAGCAATTCTGTATCGCTTAGATCCCTATATCGGCAGATGATCTTCTTGACGGAGAAATGCTGCAGATTATGAACGATAATATCGAGTTCAAGAGAACTTAGGATTTGAAGTGCTTGATCGTATGTATCTTTGGTCACACCGAAGCTTCCATGGCAGAACTGGTACCCCCATCTTCCGAACCACGTGTGCCCATAGGATACCCCATAAAGAAGCCGAAGATCCATCTTTCGCTTCTTTGATGTATCCACCACGCTTATTTTCCTACAAATTAACAAACCGAATTCAAGATTTTTGGTACAAACAAGATGAAATATCAATCAGAAGTTACAGAATACAAAAAATGACCTGCTATGAAGAGTTGTGCAGATTCGGTCCCAAAGATCCATAACTTCTCTGCCACAAATGAAGTTCGATCCACCTTCGCTTCCATTGATACAAAGAAGGTGACCGAATCCGTTGCAATGGATTAGACCATGTAAAATGTGAGTTTGAAGATCAAGAACACCATCGTCTAAAGGCTTGTTCCATTCGTTATCAATTGGGATAATGAAATGGTATTTTCTCTTCGATACGAAATGGTGACTCCAACCTGTAACAGAATATGATTCCTCATTGTTAAACCCTAAAAAAATCACTGATTCAGTCAGATTTTGATTTAAACTGTAGAACGAGTTTAAGATACACAAACCCAAATGAAAAACTGGAACCCCCATTTCAGAAATTTGAATCTAAGATTTGACAACATGAAAACCCAATTCACAAACTCAAAAACGTTACTGGCAAACCCTAAAAAACTAATCAAATAACCAAAACCCTATCAAATTCTAAATCCCAGTTAAGAGATTGAAAATTGAGACTAAAACACCCAAATTCTCCTGATAAAATTTCAAAAACCAGTTCCAGCAACTGCTTACGATGATCAAAAACCTAAAATTCCCAGATCAAAATTCGTAAATGCAGTTCGAAGAAGTGAAATCCAGCCAAAAACCCAGGTGAATTTCATAAAACCTAAGTCTAAAACAGTAATTCGATCCATAATTTCATTAATTACCAGAGCATCGGCAGTGATCACACAGTGGTTGAAGAGAGTTCTTAACACACTCTTCAATAGTATACATTGGAAGCACAAAACCCCTATTTTCATGAACCAGAAACGTGCACCATATCGGCATTCCTTCCACATTATAATCCTCAACCTGGCCACATTCCTGAAGAAATAATCGCACATTATCTCGAAACGTACCTGAAAGCGAAATTGGACAACCAGGCTGGAGAAAACTCTGTAATCCATAATACTTTGCTGATCTCATCTTCCTCTTCTTACTGTTAATACTACCACCAATCATTTTGATGATGGGTATCGACATTAATGGCGGATTCCAGCTTTCAATCCTTATTCTGATTCTGCAAACAGAGGATTATTTTAGAGCGAAAGAAGTGGGGAAGAAGAAGTTGTTATTACAAGTATAAAATTTGAATGTTTGTTGTAGGAGCAATTTACCCGCTCGATTAGAAGCTTTGTGATCACATGGATGAAGCAGATGGGTTCATTTTGACCGTTGGATTGTTTAATAGCAGTTGAGTGGCATTTGTTACGCGGCGATTTGACGACGCCAATACTACTACTACTCAATATATACGAATTTTCTTTTAAAAGAATTAATTTGTTCTAATAAAAGGTTTTTTGAAAAAATTACAAGTTTTAATTAAAATTATTTTTTATGATCTAATGAATGATATGTTAATTTGAGGGGAAATAAATCAAAATACATGTAAAATATGTGAAATAACAATCTATTTTTATAAATTTTTTTATTATAGCATTTTATTTTCAGTTTTTCTTATTATAACAATGTACTTTCAAGTCTCAGGAAGACATTCTAGAAACTTAGTCAGAGACCAACTCCAATCGAGGTACGAAGAGGAATTTTTACTCTAGTCTGGTCGAGCGACTCCTTAAGCTGAGCCATCTGCTGGTCTGTTGGAGTAGAAGAGGTTGGTTGATCAG